CCAATTTCCATGTTAAGCACCCATGGTCTTAGTGTCGGTTAAGGCTATAGTTTCCCTTAAGAAAAATTTATACTGGAAGAAAATAACTAGGATGACTTAGGAGAGGTCACTTAGGATAGGTGGATGTAATGAACCCATCTAGACATTGCACAAGCAGCTCCTTATGAAGTCCTAGAGAGGTGACCCAATGTATATGATCATTCTTATGTCCTTATGCATGACATTATAGTGATTGTCACTTGTGATGAAAATGTGCATGGTATGAGTCTATATGATGTGACCTTATCCTTATATGCACTATGTTTGTCTAAACGACTATATGATTAAGGTCTTGTATTGACATGAATGAAGTTGTCTTCACTTATTATTGATATATGAATGTATGGTAAGGCTTGTGGTCTTACGATAAATTTACTAGTATGTGTGAGGTTATGGGGCTTCACATATACATTGCACTAGTAGACTTAGAGTAGGATTATGAGAAGGTCTGATAATGCATTGATGTGAAGTGAAGTTAGTATATGTGCAAGTTAAATGTAGCTTACTCTAATTGTCCTATGGTACTGTCTTAAATATGTTAAGTTGTACTATACTTCTATGATGGTATATGTTGCCTTGTATAGTGATATATATGTTTCCTTGTGGCTTAAAGTTATGCATTGCACCAAGTATCACCAAAGGGTTACTTGGGAGATTAATGAATAAAAGAAAGGAATGCTCACTGTAAAATATGAATAGTTCACTGTAATGTGACTTGAAAATGTAATAAATTCTATATGTGATCTTAGGAAATGTTTGCATTTGAAAATGTTTATATGAAGTATGTGAATGATATAAATTCTATTGTATAAAGATTTTTACGAAGATTTACTCAAAAAGGCATGAAGTATGATTTCAAGAAAATGTCCCTTTTAAATGCATGTTTTCGCATGGTTTTCATAATTAGTGCATTCTTGTACTAACTCCATCCTTCTCTACTTTTTACAGAAAGTGTAGTATATGGATTCTTAAAGGATGTCTATGTGATTGAGGAGCTTGATATGTGATTCCCAAGCTCAAGGGAATCCTTAAGTCCAAGGATTTCTAATGTTTAGACAACTGTAAAGTTTGTTTAATATTGTACATATATGTATTATATCTTAAGGGCAGTGTCCCTAATGTACTCTAATGTTGTTGAGTCTAAGATGACAAAGATACTTAAGGTATAAGTATGTAGTATGATATTTTTATATATATGAAGTAAGGTTTCTAGCATATCATGTGCTATGAAAAGTTTGAAATTTTCCGCTAAATTTACTATGTTAATGCGATGAATGATAACTATGGGCTTGTAGAAGACATCCGAGAGGTCAAGTACGTTAATTCTAGGGGGTGCTCCCGATGTTACACACAAGATCCATTCTTGGGTAACCCTCAGTAATGCCCACTACAACCTCCGCTCCATCAGTAGTGATTAGATCATCAACCATCCGTACATAACTGGATGCCCCAGCAGTGCCCTACTCTGATGTAGCTGCTCATCCACCAAGGAAGATTTCCTATCCCACTACATCTCTTACTCTCTCTTTTTTTAGAACAGGCCTCATCCCCGGCATCAATGGTGTGGCTGGAGAGGTGCCTATTGGTAAGCACGCGTGGATCATATGGTGTCTCAGCAGAAGGTTTGAAAAAGGCGTCAAACATTGTCCTCTACAAGCTCGATTTGGTGCACTCTCCGGTGTAGTCCCCCTTATCTCTAGAATTACGTCCGTATCCGCCGCAAACAGGACACCGCAGCGTGAAGAGTAGTGAGGTCTATGATAGGGGCTGGTCGTGCTAGCACTCGCAGCTCGAAGGCATTAAGGCGCTGGTGAACCACTCAATTTTTCTGCTCGGTCTGCTTGGCCACCTCTTCTATATTCGGTCCTTTGTCTCAGCAAGTGATTTCTGCATGCAAGGCTGTATGTGGTGAATTACAGTGGCCATCTATGCCTTTAAACTCTAGATCCGTGCTAGTGGGACCTGTGCTGCAGAAGGGGGTATGGATCGGGATGAGCTGGGGGCCTGACTGGTAGCATGGTGGAATCCGCCGAGGTGGTGTCAGCAGGCTCTGCAGTAGAAGGGTCAGCCCCTTGAACTAGCTCTACTGTATCCGTCAAGTTCTTGCTCAATGGAGGCATTTCAATCTATGGCCCTCTCCATGGTGCCTCTAGTTGTCCTCATCCCTAATGAGGTCTATATCAACAGTACCTTGTCACAACTTTCCTGCAGAATTGGAAAATAAGAGAAGCAAAGGGGTAAGTGATAGAGGTCTTAAGCGCCCTCTTAGGGATCACCGTGATCAACACCTTAGCATAGTCTATCTCCAACCCTACTACCAGAGCTGCTACCAACACTGCTCTATCCCAAGTAAGGATATTATCAACATTTGTGAGCGATATGCAGTGTCGCACTAGCAACCAGAAAAACTTTGCCACAAAGGTGAGGTTTGCCTTCTTGATTATCCCTCGGGGATCTAACACCCAGTCAGCCCTCTCACCATTGATTTCCAAATACTATGCAAGTCATTTATCGACCGACTCTCGCTGCTCTACAGTCCTCTAAAATGCTCTACTCCTGATAGTCTCCCATCTGTACTCGAACTCTAGAGTGTTCGGGGCCCATTGTGTGCCAATAGTAGGTCCGTACAGAAACCGGTGGATGGTGGCCTCAAAGAGGTCAACCCAGCAGCTCGTAATAGTACATAGATGAGCGGGTCCTGTTTTGTAGGTCTTGCTCGCCTATCGATAGATCCTATGAGAGTATCCACTTAGAGAGCGTAGAACTCCCTGACTATCTTCTCATTGTAGGATCCCAAACTCTGATCCATCCACTCAAAATTGTGCAGGTTGAATAATCTATGCACCTCGAAGATTGTGTGCGAACTCCCCATGTGGACTCGGCGCTCCACCGTAACTAGCCGGGTCATTAAACACTTGTCATTCAACAGTTTGTCATCCCTGTATACCTGATATTTTCCATTGACACACCAACAGTTAGGTTTCTCAGAAACAGGTGCGGACACATTTTCTTGGGGTGCAAGGGTAGACTCCGAGCTGGTAGCCTCATTAGACGAGTCTTGGTGGCCGTGGATATCCGATCAAGTAGCTCCCTAGGAGGCGGAATTGGAGGGAGTGACCGCATTTGACCCAGAAGATTGGATTAACCCTGATGCAAAAATAGATTGGGAGACTCATGCTCCTTCAAAACTAGAGGCAGCCCCAGACGGTGAGCTGGTCAGTGTTGCTCCTCATGAGACTAGAAGGCAGTGACTACAATTGGGAACCACCTTCTGGGGGGGGAGGTACCTTTAGTAACTCGTGCAACTGGTGTTGGGGTAGTTGACCTTGGGGGACGTGTGTTGGATTTTGCTCGTTGTGGGAGATGGCAACCATTCGATGAGATAGGGCCATAAAGTTGGATTTGCCCCTTGAGTGGATGATATATTGGTTTGGATCCATTTGTACCTGTAGACGAGTTGTTAGTCTCACTTCAGCAATACTACACACTCCAAACACATCGGGCAAAGACAATTTAAAAAATAAACAACACAGTTTTGTTCTGCAGATTCAGATGGATGGGCACCATAGACGGTCTGTCGATGGGGTCTGTCGTCTAACACTTAGAATGATTCAATTTAAAAAAATCAGACCTATCAGATAGAAACAATGTACGTGCAGAATGGTCCGTCATTGATCGACGGACTGTAGTTCACTTCCATCGTCTAATACTTCAATTATTTTAGAAGTTAGCTAAAAATGGGTTCTCTGATGGAAACGACAGACGTGCAGAACATTATTAGGTTGGGGAAATCTACAAACCTATTGATGTCCCGTCGATCAATCGACGGTCTGTCGACGGGGTCTCGTACTGTAATCCCGAGACAAATTTCAGGCCTTCTTTGAAAGGTCCAATTTTATACTCTTTTTGACACATTCATGTTTAGAAATGCAATTTTAACACCTAAAAGACAAATTCGTCATTCTTAAGATTTCATTCTCAAGTAATTTTTGTTCTAATTCATCTACAGTAAGAAACCCTAAGTCGGTATTGCAAAAAAAAACAGAAACACCCATAGTCTATACAGACTACAAGGCTACACAACCACACTCTATCATTTTGAGGGACGTAACGACACAATTTCTAGCATGCGATATCACCTATTATAGTCCTAAGGTCAAGACCCAATTCCATATTTCTAAATATAACTATGAACGAGAATTCAAGTTTGTGTGAACTTGCAAAGTTCCAGGAAGTAGATCAAAAATTCGAATATGATCACCGACCGAAGAACAATAGAGAGAAAAGGGAATGTGGGGAAGAGAGAGTTTGGAGAGTTGGGATGATTCTGATTTGGGAGTGAAATGGGATATGGGAGGTTGAGTTTTGATGATAAAGGAAATATATGAATGAAGAAAAAGGTTTTGGAAGGGAATTTTAAAAGATTTTGAAGGTGGGAGTGAATGGGAAACATTATGTCCTTTAATTACCAGCCGGGTTTGGGTCGAGTCGCTGGTAGTTTGGATCGACGAAACCCCGTCGACGGTCCGTATATCAGTTGAAGGGTCGTCGATTGGGACTATCAATCCGTTTTATACTAAGAAGAGACTTACCTGGGACTATGTACACCATCAACATTCCATCGAGGGGATGACGACCCTTCGATGAGGTCCGTAGACCTCTGCACCAGACCATTTTCTACATATTTTGTTTTGGTCCCTATACATGTAACACCCTTAGGACATTCTTTTCGTGTTTTCAGGACACTTTTTAGATACAAACCTTACACTAATATCTAGCCAACACTAGTACACAAACAAGAGTTAAATAAGACTAAGAACAAAATGAAACAAAAAAATACAACTATTGTTCAAGGAAAATAAAACCAATCGTTGGATAGAGGATACAACTTGGGTTGCCTCACAAGAAGCGCTTGATTTAACGTCGCTGCACGACATAGTCTCCTTGATTCCTCAGATTCATCAAGTGATAGGTCTCAACCACTTCATGGAACTCTCGGTATGCCCTAGGTAGATCTTTATCCTCTGTCCATTGACTATGAACTTTGTGCCTTCTTTATTCTCCAACTCAACCGTTCCATGTGGAAATACTTTAGTGATGAGGAATGGCCATGTCCACTTGGACTTGAGTTTTCCCTGAAACAAGCGTAGACTAGAGTTGAATAAAAGCACCAAATTACCAACCACAAATTCTCTCTTTTCAATCCTTTGGTCGTGATACTTCATCATCTTCTCTTTGTAGATATCTGAACTTTCATATGCTTTGAGGCAAAGGTCATCAAGCTCATTCAACCCATTTAGTATTTGTTCTCCCGCTTCAGCCCAATCCATCTTCAGTTTCTTCATTACCCACATTGCTTTGTTCTCTAACTCAACCGGCAAGTGACAAGCCTTAGTTTGGAGCATAGCTATGGGAGTCTTGTATGCAGTGTGGTAGGACCAAAAAGCATCATCAAGCCTCCTTGACCAATTTGTTCTATTAGCATTCATCATTTTTGCTAGAATTTGCTTGATCTCTCGATTGGACACCTCAGCTTGCACGCTAGTGTGTCGATGGTAAAGAGTAGCCACGTTATGGAGAACCTCATATTTCTCCAATAGCTCTTTTAACAATATGTTAAAAAAGTGAGAGACACCATCATTGATAAAGGCCCTAGGTGTGCCACATCTACAGAAGATATTCTTTTCAAGAACGCGGTGATACTCTTTCCTTTATTGTTAGGAAGCACTATTGCTTAAACACATTTTGACACATAGTTGACCTCCACAAGTCTATATACTTCATCCCATGATAACTCACAAACGGGCCCATAAATTCAATGCCCAATACATGAAACAACTCAATCACCAGAATACGATTTAAAGGGAGTTCTTGTCTCCTCGAAATTGCTCCATCTCGTTGGCATTGATCACATGACTTGGGAAAGTCATGAGCATCTTGGTGAATGGTTAGAAAATAGTACCCACACTACGAGATCTTATGCGCAGAATACCACTAAGGTGCCCACCCACATGCGAGGAATGGCATGCCTGCAAAACACTCAATATCTCAACCTCCTACACAACGAGGAATAATCACATCGGCACAACTTCGGTATAAGTAAGGTTCATCCCAAAAGAACTTTTTCACATCACGCATGAATTTCTTCCTCTGATGGAATGTCAAGTCCGACGGAACCAAGTGACTTGCCAGATAATTCGCGAAGTCCGCGAACCATGGGATCAAATCCTGAGATGCAACCATAGATGTTCATTTGGGAATGCATCAACAATTTCAGCCTTTTCACCCAATTCCCACATAGCTTCATCCTCCAATCTAGAAAAATGGTCGGCCACTTGATTCTCAGTCCCTTTCTATCTTTCACCTCGAAATCAAACTCTTGCAGCAATAATACCCATCTAATCAACCTTGGATTCACATCCTTCTTTGCCATCAAGTACCTTATAGCAATACCAAGCAAATAGGAGAATGTTTTTTATAATGCAAACACAACCGCAAGAAGCTTCTTTTCAGTTACCGTGTAGTTCTTTTAAGGTTCATTTAGGGCCTTACTTGCATAGTAAATGGGGTGAAGGATTTTATCACTTCCCTGACCCAATACCACACCAAGTGCAACCCCACTAGCAACACACATTACCTCAAATGGCTCAGAACAATTGGTGAAAAAATAATAGGCGCGGACACCAACATCTCCTTCAACTCTCCAAATGCTTTCAAACAGTATTCATCGAAATAGAACTTACATTCCTCCTCGAGAAGTTTGTAGAAAGGATGTACAATTTTTGAAAAATCCTTAACAAACCACCAGTAAAAGCAAGACGGTCCAAGAAAACTTCTCATACCTTTTACAAAGATGGGTGGAGGAAACCTCTCTATCACCTTCACTTTAGCTCAATCAACCTTTATCTTCTTCTCTGAGATACCTTTATCCCCTTCTTTGAGATGTGATGGCCCAACACTATACCTTCTTTCACCATAAAGTGACATTTTTACCAATTAAGCACTAGATTAAAATCCTTACACCTTTTGAGTACCTCAGCCAAATTGCTCAAACACTAATCAAAGGAGTCTCTAACCACAAAGGATCATCCATGAACACCTCAATAGTGTCCTCCATCTTATCGGATAATATTAACATCATACATCATTGGAAAGTGGCCGGTGCATTACATAACCCAAACAAAATCCTTTTCAATGAAAAATGTCCCATAAGGGCAAGTGAAAGTAGTCTTTACTTGATGCTCAAGGGCAATAGAGATTTGATTGTATCCCGAATAGCCATCAAGAAGGAAATACCACCCTTTGCCTGTGATTTTGTCTACATATGATCCATAAAGGGCATGGGGAAATGGTCATTTTCAGTCAGCGCATTCAACTTCTCATAGTCCATACAAACTCTCCATTCGATCACTGGCCACATTGGAACAAGCTCATTCCTCTCATCAGTCACCACTGTTATCCCACCCTTTTTAGGTACGCACTAAACATGACACACCCAACTACTACCTATAATAGGATAAATGACTCTGACATCTAACCACTTGATGATCTCCTTTTTCACTACATCTTGCATAGGTGGTTCAACCTTCTTTAGTGCTCAATACTTGGTTTGTGATTACGCATGAGTTGGATTTTATGGGAACAAATACCAGGGGAATCCCAATAATGTCAGTAATAGTACAACCAATGGATCGTTTGAACCTCTTCAATACCACCACTGACCCTCTACTTGATGTTCATTCAAATCCACTGTAATTATCACTGGCAAAGTGTCATCTCTACCCAAGAACACATACCTCAAATGAGGTGGTAGAGCCTTAAGATCTAATTTTGGGGCCTCCTCAATAGATGGTTTCTAAGGTGGAGACTTGTGATGCTTCATATCTATCTCCAATTTCTTTGGTTTTGATCAATATTCGTGTCGTTCAAGTGAAGCCACCAAAGACCCATACTCTTCAATACCATCACTGTGAAAATTCATTATCACTACCGCTAGTGCCTCGACACCTAGTCGCTCTTCAATTTGTACCTTAGATACACTCCCAAGCCTGTAGGATATACTAGATAGCGTTTGGAGCTCACCACACTACTTCATGGATCTACATATGTTGAAAGTTGCTTCTTCATTGTTCAACCTAAATTTCATCTTGCCTTTTTCCATATCAATCAATGCACACCCTGTGGCAAGGAATGGCTTCCCTTGAATAATAGGAACCTTAAAATAAACCTCACAGTCAAGAACCACAAAATCGGCTGAAAATATAAATGACTCCACTTTCACAAGAAAATCATGGAGAATACCAATGGGCCTCTTCACCATTTGATCGGTCATCAGTAACTGCATTGTAGTAGGCTTCGGGTCACCCAAGAGTAACTTCTTATAAATTGAAAGAGGCATGAGATTTATGCTTGCACCAAGATCACATAGTGCTTCATATGGAAACTTCTCTGAAATAATTGACGGACCAAAAACATGGTCTGTCCATGCATCTACATCTGTCAATGCCCTCTGTCGTTCCATCCTTAGAATATTTCCAACTTCGGGTAATAGAACTTTCTCTGATCAAAACAATGGTCCACCAGTATGGTCCGTCAATCAGTCCACCGACCGTTGTTCCCTTTTGTAGTTCCACACTTTGTTGGATTTTTCTGTGTTGTCTCCAAAGTCCTAATCTGCTCATCTACAGCTCCCAACTACGGTCTGTCGATCAAACAATGTACCGTCGATGGTCTCCGTAATTCATGTTCTGCATTTTTCAGTTGTGTCCTCATGTAGTCGCCTAAACATTTTTCCTGTAAAACAAACACAAAAACATGTTAAAACTACTATAAAAAGGATCTAAAAAAGCACCGTGAAACCACGGTACATCAATTTTTCCTCTAATTTGTAATCACAGATGTCTATCGTGCTTGCCCTATTTTTATTTATGGGATTTCAGACGTGGGGTGGTTTGGTGATTTTGGATATGTATGATTTTGATATTAACTGAGGCACCACTTGGTTGTATCCCTACTATGCTATGTTTAATTTTAGTTGTAAGTTTGTGACTCTAGAAATTCCAGGAAGGGAAAGATTAGAGTGGGAAAGGGTGTACAAGCCTAAGCAAGCTAATATTATATCCTCAATTAGGTCTAGTTAACTAGTAGAGTAGGGTTGTTTAAGCCTATTTGGCTCACTTTAGGGATGTTGGGATTGAAGTTATGCCATTGGGTCTATTTCGATGGAGTTGAACTTAATAATGTTTTTCCAAATGACTTTCCTGCAATGTCTCCGGATAGATACATATATTTTTGTATTGACTTAAACCTGTTACTTGCCCTATTTCTATCCCTTCGTATCGCATGGCTCCGACAGAATTGATAGAGCTCAAGGCTCAAATCCAAGATCTTCTTGATAAGGGTTTTATCCGTCCAAGTGTTTCCACATGGGGTGCTCCGGTTTTATTTGTTAAGAAGAAAGATGGTAGCATGAGGATGTGTATAGTGTTATGGTCATATGAATTTTTTGCTATGTCTTTTTGATTGACTAATGCGCTTGCAACTTTCATGAGCTTAATGAATGGAGTGTTCAAGCCTTTTCTTGATTCCTTCATGATAGTTTTTATTGATGATATATTAGTGTATGAAGGAAGCGAAGAAGAGAATGCTAACCATCTTCATACGATTTTGGGTGTCCTTGGAAAACAAAAGTTATGTGCCAAAATTTTCCAAGTGTGAATTTTTGTTTAAATCGGTTGAATTTTTGGGGAAAATGGTATCAAAATAAAGGTACATCCTCAAATGTTTGAAGTGGTCGAGAATTTGGTACGACCTAGTTTGGTGATGAAAGTTAGGAGTTTTGTGGGACTTGCTAGATACTATCATTGATTTGTTAAAAACTTTGCTTTAATTTCTACTCACTTTACCAATTTGACAAAAAAGGAGGTACCATCTGAATGTACGGAAAAATGTGAGGAGAGCTTCCAGAAGCTTAAGACTCTTTTAACCACCGCGCCCATGTTAGCGTTAGTGGTTGAGGGTAAGGACTTCATTATTTATTGTGATGCTTCACATTCTGGTTTGGCTGTTGTGTTGGCACCAATTGAATGTGCGTGAGAGGTACTATCCCTCTTATGATGTAGAGTTGGCAGCGATGGTATTTTCTCTTAAAATCTGGCGACATTATCTTTATGGTGTCAAGTTTGAGGTATTTACTAATCATTGTACTTTGTTGGGTGTATTCACTCAAAATGATTTGAATTTGAGACAACAAAGATGGATGAAATTACTCAAGGATTATGATGTGACCATTCAATGCTATCGGGGTAAAACAAATATTGTGGAAGACGTTTTGAGTCAAAAATTGGTATGTATGGATAGATTGGGTTACTTGAGCGGAACCAAGCTACTTTTGGCCAAACAAATATAGACCTTAAGAGTCTAAGTTCGTGCAGTTGGGCATTTCCATAAAATGTGGGTTATTAGGTAGCATTAAAGCTAAGTCCATGTTCAT